TTGAAGATTTATTTGGTGCTCTGATAACCACCTTGCCACAACAAATAAAAATATTATCATTTAGACAAAAATGGTTACTTTTAGATGATGTTTTAGAGATGTTTTTCAAAAAATGGACTGGCTATACACCAATCCATATTGAACTTTTTAATGGTTGTGAGGAAATGATTGATGATGATATTGACAATGAAGTTAAAATGATTGAACTGTTGACTCAATATAAAGAAAAAGGATTATTAAATTTTAATTTCTTTGATTCAATTGCAAAATTTGATATTTTCTTGGAATCATTATAACTTATTATATCTTATGCTTACATGTATACTTATATATTAGAAGATTTAAATCAATAATCCGTTATATTAATAGTCAATATTATTATATTTTTAGCAATAGAATAATTTTTTTTTTACATAGATCACTTGTGCAATATTTATTTATTTGGTACAAAAAAATAAATAACCTTTTTTCCCTTGACAAAATTTTAAGATATCCTCTATTGTGGTATATCCATCATACCACTCGTGTTTAAAGAAATCAATATTAATATTAACTGCATTTTGTGTTGCTAATACAATATACATCGTACTATATATTACTATAGAATGATAAATAATTGTTTACTAAAAATACTTCATTGATGACGAAGAAGTTACAATTAAAATAGCCAACATTGGGAGGACTAATTTTTCATAGATAATTACATCTCGGAAATCAACAATCGGCAATAATACTTGATCGGTTTCCCGTGTATTTATTCAGTGCTTCGCAAAACATTTCTGACTCGATATTATCCGTGATTTTTTTCCTTGCATATTAATGTTTTCATCTTCACCAATGTCCTTGTCTCTTAAGCGTCTATGAATTCAACATCTTGTTGTTGTTATTATCACAATGGCTTCCAATAATATTAGACAGTGTTGTTGTGAGACATTTGACTTTTTTTTTTCAAGTCAATTTGTAAATATTATGACGCTTTAAATAAATCTAAATAATCAAATGTATAAACATTAAAAGCAAATTTTCGTTTGTTTATTACAATAATTTGTATTATAACTTTGAAAGATCACTTCGTTTATATTTAGTATTCACCGTTTAATTTGATAACAGATAATAAAAAAGGAAAGTAAAAGGTTATTTATTCGACGATTTTTTAGCATCGTAATTTGCGGCGGAAATATTACCTTCAAATTTCAACATATAAATCTCCAAGCTCGTTTTCATCCCAAGCTGCATATATCATAAAGGTATTGATGCTTGCTTTATTTTTCGATGAGAAACAGGCTCTTGCATCTTCGATTTTGAAAAGATTAACAGCTTGTCTAATAATCTCACCAACCAGTTTTTCATTTTCTATCAATTTTTCTAGATTTATGGTAATGACCATTGAATATAAAATATCTTTTTGTAATACAACATGATTTACAAAAACACCATACATTTGTTGATGTAATTTTGTTGAAGTATATTCGCTAACTTCACTAGTCCCAGTGCGATACGTTGAAACTGAAACTGAAAGATTTCCAATGTTTTTTATTTTGCTTTTCGATCTTTCCAATTCGTTAGTTTACTTTCCAATTCATTTTCACATGGCTTCATTATTTTCACTTTTCAATTCATTGTTGTTATTTGTTACCTTTCAAAATTTTGACAATGCTTCCATTTCTTTGATTGCGCAGCTCGATTTATTTTTACTTTCCATTTCATTGCTATTTCATTACTTTTACTTTCTGACTCATTAATTTACTTGTCAATTCATAGACAATTCTTTCCAATTCAATGTTCTACTTTACAACTGGTTTTGTCATTGTTGATGATTTTCCTCTGTATTCATTTTCATATCCGTTGTTTCTTTATCTTCAGAGAGTTTTCGTATAGTTAAATTATGTTCATTAAAGCATATTTAGTAATTATTACAAGTCTTCGGAATAAGATGATCTGCTGGACTTGAGATTTGTTCTTGCGTGTGGATAATTTGCTGTTTGTGTGGGTTGTGATGATGGTTCTTTCTCTTTCTCATATCATAAGAAAGCTCGATCTACTTCCAAGCTAAAACTTTTAATAGTAGAGGCAACAACCCCTTTTTCTTTCAAATAATTCACAAATTCCGATGTCAATTTCACTAAATGAAAAATCAGGATTTAGTCCAGTCTTTTTATCAAATAATTGCTTGATGTAGTTTCAATAGGTATTTCTTGTTCATTTGGTCTAATCACAGATAAATTCAGTGGTGAAGATAAGTGTTTTTGTTAAATGTTTTAGATGAAGGTGATTTATCGTGATTCTTCCTATTTAAGAGATTTGCCTATATATTATGTGACCATAACAAATTAGAAGCGTCGTATAATAAAGTTCAATTTGAATGATTTTATTTATTGTGGGCAGATCAGTACCATTACGTATAGTGCATACGTATAGTTCTAATAATAAATGTAAATCAATCCCTGTTTAG